AAATTCCGATAGAACGAGAAGAATCGTAGAAAACAAGCTTTGATGTGATAAAACACAATCAGTTCGGTACGCAATGAACTTCACTTGCGTAATAGTGCTAAGGTACTTTGGTAAACTTCACTATTCGATTATTTCCATATTCACAGACGTACATATTCATGTTGGAATCAAAAGCAACATCAAGTGGCTGATTGAGTCCACTTGCAACAATAGTGCCAACTGAACCGGCCGTAAAACCAGCGCAAAACATGACGATTGTTCCACTACCATCATCAACTACGTATAAGTTGCCATACGTATCAAATCGAAGACCCCATGGGTAGGTTAAACCGCTTGAAACCATAACTGTACCACTGGTTGAACCTTGCGGATAACGAGTAACTGTATTTGCTGTATTACTCGTTGCGTAGATATTGCCAGACGCATCTGTTGTGACTCCAACAAGTCCACTCAGATGAATTATCAACGAGCTGGCGCTGCTAAAAAAAGTTCAAAGCATGATTCTGTTATTCATCAGGTCGGCCAGATAAATTTGGTTGTTGCTCATATCCACAGCCATACTAAAAGCCTGATCAAATGAACTTAATGTGTTACCCTGAACTCCAGTGCCTGCAATAATAGATTCTCCACTTGCGCCGTTTAACCATTGAAGAATACGCAAATTCCACATATCAAAAATGTACATATTCAACGACGAGTCAACATAAATTGAAGTGGGATAATTGAGTAAACTCGCGGTCCATCCGAGAGTCCCACTCGCGCTACCAGCAACAGTGGTGCCTGACGTATCATTTGGACCCCATCGTTGAATACGATGATTGAAATTATCTGCTATGTATAAGAAATTATTTCGATCAATGAAAATCCCCCGGGGTCTACTCAATTCAGATGCTGTTGATCCTGCTGTTCCATTGTTATTGCCCGCAACTGTTTCTCCAGTGGAATTCCAACGAAGACTACCTACAACAACACAATGGCTTTGATAAGGTCAAACGATCAATTGGAATCATTATTTACGTATGGATATTCTGCTTCATTTTCGCGACTGACTAAACCAAAACGATCCACAATTTATACCTAGGGTGAAAAGCGGACTTTTCTATTTGCAGTTATTTTGCGCTACTTCAAAGTACTTCGAGCGAACTTAAGCTACACTCTAAAAAAAAAGCGTTTTCTCAGAAACCGAAACCCCTTTCCAAAACTCTTGAACGTATCCGCAAAGGTTTCCGGACTCATGTTAAGTTTCTGAAAATACCTTCAGGGTTTCCGAGTATCCGGAAACCTATGGGTTTTCGAAATATAGGTCCGCAAACCCTCAAACGTATTCTCAGAAACTCTGGTACTCTTTTTGAAAACCGAAAGTTATCCCCGGAAACCTTCTCTGATTTAAAAACCTTCTCAAAAACCTTTGCGTTTCCGATAATTTTTATCGAAAACTTTTTTGGGTTTCCGAGCATCAGAAACGGTGGAAGCATTTCCGAAAAATTGAGCATGGTTTCCGAACATCTATTGGAAACCCTTCAGGGTTTTCGAATTTTCAGAAAATCCTTGCGTTTCCGAAAAAAAGCTCGGAAAACCTATCCAGTATTCTCAAACATAGAAATAGCATTCGGATATCTTCTTTTTGATTCTTATGTTACGATCGCTATTTTAGAAGTGTAGGAATTGCACGGGATGCATGATATAAGCTTTATTCAATTTATGTGGAATTGTCGTGTAAAATCATTAGAATCCTGAGAATTCAAAAGAAAATACCTTGTTCCTGAGAAAATTTCGACTTGTTTTTACATCTTTCAATACCTAAAAACTTGAATAGATTACGACAAATTTTCCTGTGGGGATCGAAGAGCTGCATTAAATCGCTAGATGAATCAAAGAATGCCGTCTTTCTCCTTCTTCATTCATTTATGTTTCATACAACTACAGGTATTATCATCCTTATCAACAGATTGCAACAGAATATAGTGCAAGTTTCAGCCGTTTGAGGATCCTTTCAACCGATTTATACAGAAGATTCATAGGAGAAGAATGATGGAAAACATGAAGAAATCTTCATTTGCGAGAGAATGTAACACAAATACTAGATGTCTCGACGTGTTTGCAACATCATTTATTCTTCATATATCTCCACAACTGTAAATCATAAAATCTTAAATTTTGTCAAATTATGCGTCGTGATATTCTGTACGATAGTCAAAATAAAAGATCCTCTTGGTTTGTGCTAATAGATTTGGAGTAAGCCAAAAGAAAAGATGTCTCAGATGTGATAGTTTCTCACTTTCATACCGATTTAAGCACTTTAAAAAAAACATATTTACTATCTAAATCAAATCATATGTACAAAAACTCATTTCTGAATACCATCATCTCAATAAAATGAGCATTTTTAGTTCGAAAATAGCCGGAAAGAATGAAAGGTCTGCGAAATGTAATTGTTGTTTAGCTAAAGGAAAAAACAAATTCTGGACAGTGAGAAACTATAATTTCCCATACACCTTTCCTTTTAGCTCTCTTCAAATTTATTAGCACAAGTTACAAGAATCTCAGCGTTCACCTATTAGAAAGAATGTCATGACCTATCGTTTCAAAAACAAGTTGACGTTTTCATGAATTGTCTGTTTGAAGACATAAACAAAATAAAATATCTTGGAAGCGTTCTGAGAAAAACGGTAGATATGTATTTCTTCATACCGCAAGATAGTTTTTTCCAACTGATCCGGTAAATAACCCAAAAAAAAGCGAACACGAGAATTTCAGTTCACGGGTAACAAAACTGAAGACACCAACATTCTGCCTTCGACAGCAATACGGAAACCAGAAGCCAGACTGCATTAAAGACTTTGACTTCAGTACACAAAAAGCTTTCACCACTATAGCAATCCACTTGAGTTGGTGACTTTGAGTTCGACAGGACATAATATCTCATGACATTCACTAACTTCATGGCGATGGCTTTGAGAGACATGAAAGCTTGAAATCTTTAACTGACTTCATGACGATAGCTTTGAGAGATGTCAAGACTCTAACAAACAAGACTGACTTTACGACTCTTACTCAACAAAACATACAGACTCGATGACTAATACTGACTTTGTGATTATGACTTTTAGATACAGAAAGAACGCAGGACTAAGACTAACTTTTTCACTCAGTGTTTCGCACGGAGGCATAAAGACTATAGAAATAAGACTGACAGAAGGATGCCTGTTTTACGAGACATGAAGACTCCAGGACACAGACTAAATAAATGACATTCTATTTAGGATACGTCCAATTTCCACCAATTTAGCTGACTTCATGACCGTGAATTTGAACAACGAGAACACTGGAGGGATCTCATTAAGTTCATCTCTCCGTCTTTCAAAAGATTCAACACTTTGATTGACATCATGCCCAACTCCTAGACAGATTTCAAAATTTTACGACTACAGCGGACAATATGACTCTGGAAATAACATTCATCTACACTAGGACACTATCACCAGTTCCATGATATTCACTTTAACAGACATGAACACTCAAGAACTTTGACGAAATTCATGACTTTACATTAAGGACCTATTCCTCTATATTTATACTAAGGCCACATCTTCACAAGCATCAAACTCAAATCGACATACAGGAGTCACATTACGAAGTTACAATCACTCGACACATATAGATTACCGACTTACACCAACACGATGCTATAAGCAGTTACAATAACGGGATACAATAACGCATTAGATATAGAATAAGGAGCCAGATAAAGGGGATATATGTATTCCACAGAATCAGCGGACAGATATACATTAAGCACTTAAATTACGCGCTACAATGAGGCAATAGAATAAGGGCTAAGAATAAGCGGAAAGATATACATTAAGGGCATAGATCAGGGATTAGCATAAGCAGTTAGATTAAGGAGTTAGATTGACAGAATAGAATCAGCGGTCAGATTTAGGGATAGAATAAGGGCTAGATTAAGGGATACAATAAGGGGTTAGATTTAAGGGATAGAATAAGGGGACAGATTCAGAGGCTAGAATAAGGTGATAGAATAACGGGTTAGAATAAGGGGTTAGATTAAAGGGATATATATAGATTAAGGGGTTAGAATAAGGGATTAGGTTAAAGGGTTAGAATAAAGGGATAGATTAAGGATAGAATAAGGGGATAGAATAATGGTTAGATTAAGGGATAAAATAACAGGATAGATTAAGGGGATAGAATAAGGGGATAGAATAAGAGGATAGAATAAGGGGTTAAACAAGGGGTTGGATTAAGGTTACAGATTAAGGGGATAGGATAAGGTGATATATATAGATTAAGGAGTTAGAATAAGGGGTGAGATTAAGGGGTTAGATTAAGGAATAGAATAAAGGGATAGAATAAGGAGATATGTATAGTTTAAGGAGTTAGAATAAGTGGTTAGAATAAGGGGTTAGATTAAAAGCATAGAATAAAGGGATAGAATAAGAGTTAGATTAAGGGATAGAATAAGAGTTAGATTAAGGGATAGAATAGGGCGTTAGATTAAGGGGATAGAAAATGGAATAGATTGAGGGATAGAATAAGGGATAGATTAAGGAATAGAATAAGGGTTGGATTAAGGGATAGACTAAGGGGATATATATAGATTAAGGAATTAGAATAAGGGGTCAGATTAAACGGATAGAATAAGGGGATAGATTAAGGATTAGACTAAGGGGTAGAATAAGAGGTTAGATTAAGGGCATAGAATAAGGGGATAGAACAAAGGGTTAGATTAAAGGGATAGATTAAGGGGATAGATTAAGGGAACAGAATAAGCGGATATATATAGATTAAGGAGATAGAATAAGGGGATAGATTAATGTCATAGATTAAGGAGATAGAATAAGGCGTTAGAATAAGGGGTTAGATGAAGGTGATAGATTCAGGAGATATATATAGATTAAGGGATTAGAATAAGGAGTTAGATTAAGGTGATAGATTAAGGGGATAGAATAAGGGGTTATATATAGATTAAGGAGTTAGAATAAGGGGTTAGATTAAGGGGATAGATATAGATTAAAGTGTTAGAATAAGGCGGCAGATATAGGTCAGTGAATCGTTTTGTAAGTAGCTGTAGAAAACCTATACAAGATTTTCGAAGTCTCGGAAACCTCAACTGGGTTTCTGGGCTCTGAGGTTTTTTGATTGCGTTGAAGCGTTTCCGAGAGCTCGGAAACCCTTTCCCGGAAACCTATAAAGGGTTTCATATAGTGACAAATCCTGAAACCCTCTATAGGTTTCCAAGAGTACCATTTTTTTTAGAGTGTACTTCGCACATACTTTGAACTAGCTTAAGGCAATTTGGATTACTTTAAAGTACTTTACAATTTTTCAATATAGCTGTAGGCACACATTTAGATACTAGGCAATAGATCGTTTTGTCGTTGCTAATTAACAATATAGCGTAGAAAAAGTCAATGTATACGAGAGAAAAACAATACAAATTATAGCATTACACAAACATTTCAAAGATTTATTTAAAAAAAGCTGTTAGCGCAATCTCTATGGGATTAAAATGTGAAATACGATGAAGCTGTTAACATTGTAAAAATGGGAATTCAGGCTTCTGTCACAATCTATGATTGTCTGTGGTGCTCTGTCGGCCGTATCTGTCATGTCTGTAGCGGGAGGGGGGGGAGCAGTGGATGATGACAT